CGCACACGTCATAAAAACATTGGTCTTCCTTGCTGTAGTGGATCGTAAATCTCCCGCGGCTGATCCAGGCCACTGGCGAGTAGTAATTCGGCGAGCAGTGGAACGCGCTGGTCTATTCTAAGGAGCCTTCTGAGAATCCCCGAGGGCTGTCTGATAAACCCCGTGACTTCTTCAGAAGTGGCAGGGCAGGCTGGTATCTTCACCATCACAACCATCCGCGTGATCCTGCTTACCCTCCTGCTGCCGCGCAGCGCTACGACAGCGATCCGAATCCCGCAGACGCGCAACCCGCGTGCGCGCCGGGGCGCGCTCGCCCACCGCCCTTCGGCCCGGAGCCCACGCCGGAGCTCGCCGATTTCCGTGAGTGGGGGAAGTAAGAGGAGACGCATAGACCATGCCCTGATGATATCCTCCTCCTCCTCCTCCTCCTCCTCCTCCTCCTCCTCCTCCTCCTCCTCCTCCTCCTCCTCCCTTCCTCCCCTCCTCCAACTCCTCCTCTTCCCTACCTTCTCTTCCTCCTCCTCCCTACCTCCTCCTCCTCCTCCTCCTCCTCCTCCTCCTCCCTGCCTCCTCCCGGCATGATCTCAAGCGGAGCGGGGGGGAGGATAGGGGGGGGCTTCGCCGCTGTGCCACTCTGCACGAGCGGTGGCCCGATGTGCCAGCCGATGTTTCGACCGGTCGAGATCGTCGCATCGGTTGTAAAAACAATGATCGGTATCGTTTAACCGATCCCCATCCCCATTCCCACCCCCTTCGAGACCCCCACCAAATTACCACCCCAGTTGAGGATACACCCGTGGAAACCCGAAGAGAACGACCTATCCCCATCTATGAGGGTAAATCGGCCAGTGGGGCCCAGGCCACGCCCCTGGGGATGGGGATCGGTTAAACGATACTCAAGTGAGAGGATCAGCAAACTACGAGTCGGGACGTCTACCGTGCCGGGACGACAGCGCTCGAAGGAGAACAGACGCCATGAACAGAAATTGTTGGCGCTCCGTGCGGAGTGCCAAAAGTATATGTTTCTTGCGATTGTTCTTCCTCTAAGCACGGTAGAGGAGGAAGCGGGATGTCGCAATCATCGCGAGGGGAAAGCAGAGTATCTTCCAGCCTTGTTTGGTGCACGATCTCCTAGTCGTAGCGCTCCTCCCCGTATGCCACGGCTTGCGGCTCTTCGTGCCGCACCTAAACATTTACCACGTCCTGCGGCCAGTCCACCAAGCCCTCGTAAATCAGTTTCTCGCAGGCGTACGAGTAGGGGCTGAATAGTAACGATGTGCATGTCCAGGATATTAGTCCTACCCATCGTTGATCTCGTCCAGGCTGCTGGTGTTTGCGCGCGATGCCGATGGTGAAGCTGTACTCCAGGGTTCTTCGTCCTCCTCGAGGTCGTCGCACTCGTCGGCATCGGCATCGGTGTGCGCCGAAAGTTTCCTATTAGCCGCCATGGGCCTCATTTGCAGCATCACGTGCAGCGGTGGTTTGTCTTCGCCTCGATGCACCGCTTGAGCTCCACGAGCATGGGATCGATGTCGTTGGGGTCTGCCTGCTGAGCGATGCACTTCTCGATGTCGAGTAGGGCGTTACGAGACGGAGGTGGGCACTTACTAGGAGGATCGGAGCACCCTCGAGGCGGAGCTCAGAGTGGCACGTACGAGACGGAGGTACACATCTACGCGGAGGCGAACACGTACGACGCGGAGGTGAGCATTTGCGAAATTGTGATGGGTATTTGTGAGGCGGTGGGGAGCACCTCCTAGACGAAAGCGAGCACGCACGAGGCGGGGCAAAAGCACCCACCAGGCGGTGGTGAGCACCGACGAAGCGGATGCGAGCACCTGCCAGGCGATTGAGAGCACCTGCGAGACGGAGGCGAGCACCTACGAGGCGGAGCGGGGCGCGCACGAGGCGGAGGCGCGCGCCCACGAGGCGCAGGGAAGCACCGATGAAGCAGAGGTGCGCGCGCGAGACGGAGGTGAGCGCGCACGCGGCGGACGCGGGCACCCGCGAGGCGGAGGCGCGCGCCTACGAGGCGCCGGAGAGCGCCGACGAGGTGGAGGCAGGCAAGTGCGAGGCGAAGGTGCGCGCGTGCGAGGCGGAAGTCAGCGCGCGCGCGTCGGACGTGAGCGCCGAGATGGAGGCGGCAACGTACCCCGCGGAGGTGGACGCGCGCGAGGTGGGGGAGGGCACGCTCGCGCGCGGCGGCGGTGGCCACGCGCGGTACGGGGATGAGCACCTACCATTCGGAGGTGGGCACCAATCGAGGCGGAGGCGTTCACGTACGACACGGAGGTCAGCACGCGCGTGGCGGAGGTGAGGACTCAAGGGGCGGATGTTGGCACGTACCCCGCGGAGGTGAGCCTTTACGAGGCGGAGGTGGGCACCCGCGCGGCGGCGGTGACCAAGAACAAGACGGATATGGGCACCTGCAAGGTGGAGGCGGGCACCGGCGAGGCGGCGGCGAGCGCGCGCGAAACAGAGATGGGCACCTACGAGGCTGAGATGGCGCCGAGCTAGCAGCTATCGTCGCCTAGACAACTGGAGATCCTGGAGGATGTCATCAGGAATTCCAAGAAGAATGGGGATGGCCTTTTCGCTCGTTGGAGGCGGGGAGAGGAGGACATCAAGGACGATTGCGATTTGAAAGAGCCATCGGGCGCACGCGAATGTGCGCGGGCGCCGCCCCACCAGACATGCTACGGCGACCACTGGAAGACCGCGCTTGGGTGCAGCATTCGCTGGACAGAGAAGAGGGCTGGCTCGAGGTGGAAGCCGCTTACACACGGGCGCTCAATCATTGACGGGGGCCTGCGGCAGGGCGCTCTACATTAGCGCCGAGGTGCGCGTATCCTCCTCTTCGTCCCCCCCCGCCATTTTAACGTCGAGCGGACATGCGCTGTTCAGTTGTGTGTTCGTGTAGAGAGCCAACCGCAGGCGCAGCGGCCAACAATTCAGATGTGGTCACGCGAGGCAGAGACAGGATGGGCGAGAGAAGGTAAACAAATAATACCACACCCGCGACGGCGTAGGGAACGCGCTCGGATGATGGAGGTAATATTTTTGTTGGGCGTTGGACCGACACTTGCTAGATGCACGTTGCGTCAGGAAACTGGAAGCAGAGAAAGACATCGGATGGGAAATGGTTACCCCAGTTCGACGCGAGAAGCTAACGACAAAGATTATCGTGGAAAAGTAGGAGAGGCCTCGCGAGCACAAAGCGTTAGACTTGCGGGCGACATCAAGGACATCACAGGTTGGTCTTTCCTCGCACCACCTTTCCCATCTTCCTCCTCGCCGCCAACCTCCTTTCCCTGATTGTCGTCGTGATTGTTCTATCCCTCGGCCCGGTCTTGCCCCGCGCAACTTGTCCAATCGTATCAGTGGCCCCCGAAACACAGGGATTTATTTCTTTTGCTCGGCGGGCTTCATCGCAGGTTCAGTCCGCCGCTCTTGGGCTTCTGATCCAGGATAAGTTGTTTTATCATCTACGGTGGCTAGTGGTGCAGGGGCGGCCCTGAATCGCCGGCTGCAATCACGCCCTACAGCATGCCAAGCTTCGCAACAAATCGGCCGGCACGAACGACATTTGTACGGACAATATTGGGGCAGTTACCGACGGCTGTTCCTGTCCGGCTTGAACAGAGTTCGATGACGGCTTTGCCGCGGATGTAGTCAAATTGAACTTGGCATCGCTCGGACGTGTGCGTTTTTTGCTCGGCGAGGACCATCGAGGAGCATCCTTGATCATTTGGCGAAAACCACGCACGAAACCGACAAAAAACACATTGAATGGACGTCCGAGCGATGGCGAGTGAAGCGAACGGCCGCTTGCGTCACAGCGGCGTTTGTTGTTGACCATCGTGTCCATATTTTTCGTACTCATTCCAGGCGTGCCAGATTTTTTGGGGGGTTTTGGTGGTGGTCGTCGTCGTCGTCACTTCAAATGTTCCCGCCCCGCTTCTCTGGGGTAGCCCCCCCGCCCGCCACGCCTGCCGAGGCCGCGACCGCCGCCGCCGCGCATTCGCTGTGGCGGCGGGAGCCGCGGGGTCACCCGAGTCTACGGACGACCTTGTGCGCAGCGTACGGCACTGGCGTTTACCGATGCCTCTTCGATCTTCGACCCAGGAATTCTGAAGAGGGACAAGTCTGGATCGTGCTACCCTTGCATCGTGTTCGTCTCCTTTTGGGCCTCCTGGGAAGCCCTCGTCGCCTTGGCTGGATTCGCATCGAAATCATGGTCAGTTTGGGGGCCAGCAGGAACTCCTGGCATGGTGGAGCGCATGGGCGTCGTGGTCGTGCTGAGGGAGGGGGGGCCCTTGACGTCGAGGAGTCGAGGGACGATTCTCGTCTCGACTCGCTTGGGGGCGGTCCTGGGGCCTGGTGCGGAGCCCCCGAGGCCGAACGTGGCAAGCGCAACTTCTGGTGCTGTCCCTGACCTTCCAAGAGGGCTAGAAAATAGCACGCGACTTAAAAAACTTTCCCAAAGCTATTCCACGTCTTGGTTTTAGGCTGTTCCGCTCAGTGTTTTAGGTTGTTAGGCCTCCAGTGCTAAACAATAGCTCTCTGGAAGGTCAGGGGTCCTCACGACGAGCGTGGCCGAAGGCCCCCCCCCGAGGGTGCCGCTCGCTCCCGGGCCTGACCTCGTCCTGCCGCCCTCGCCCACACCGGCCCTCGCGCGCGCAGGGCCCCGCGAGGGGCCGCCGCGTGGAGCCCCCGGGCTCTCGGGGGGTCCCGGCTGGCCGCCGTGCCCGCGCCCGTCCCCAGCCTGCCGCCGCCGCGCGCCCAGTCGAGGGGGGAACGGGGAGGAGGATCGAGGAGGAGCGGGGGGGAATCGGGGAGGATGGAGGGGGGGGGGACCGAGGAGGATCGAGGCGGAGGACCGAGGGGGAACGGGGGAGAATCGGGGAGGATCGAGGGAGGGGGGGGCCGAGGAGGATCGAGGAGGAGGAGCGAGGACCGAGGGGGCCTCGGGGAGAGCCCCGGGGGGTCGAGGAGGCCCTCGCGAGGGGCCCCCGGGGCGTCGTCCTGGGCAGGAGCCCGGTCTCGGCCGGCCGCCGCCGCGCGGGGGTCGAGGGAGGGGCGGGCAGTGGCAAAGCGTCTCCCCCTACAGGGGGGATGTAAAACGACGCGAAGATCAGGACAAAGTCGGATCGGGATAACTCGAAATCTCTGAGAATCGGCGGGTTTGGAGGATGTATTGGGCGCCGCGGCCGCTCCAGAGCGTTCCGGAACGCTCTGGGAGCGCTCCGGAACGCTCTGCAGCGATTTATCCCGATCCTGGCCCTGTTTTAGCGGGCAGTGGCGAAGCGTCTCCCCCTACAGGGGGGATTTCCAATGAAAAATCGAAAACATACCCCACAAAATACACCAAAAAGGTCAAACAGTATTCCAGAAATAGTCCCCATGCTTTTTTTGGGGTGTTCTTTGAGTATGTTGTTGTTTTTTCCGTCGAAGATCCCCCTGTAGGGGGACAGACCCGACTTTCAGCGTGGCTTGTCCACACAAGTTGGCCGTTGAATCGTCCTGGCTTTCTGTCGCTTGGCATCGCTCGGACGTGTGCATGTTTCCTTCGGCGAGGACCATCGAGGAGCATCCTCGATCACTTGGCGTAAAATAAGCACGCACGAAACCGAAAAAAGCAAAGGGAGTGGACGTCCGAGCGATGGCCAGGTCGGGCGTCTCCCCCTGCAGGGGGGAGCTTCGACGAACAGTTTAAACAAATACCAAAATCATACACCACAAAGGTCAAAACGTGCTCCAAAAATAGTCCCCGTACTTTTTGGATTGGTATTCTTTGAGTATTTATGTTTTTTTTATTGTTCGCCGGAAATCCCCCTGTAGGGGGACAGGCCCGACTTTAAGCGTGGCTTGTCCGCACAAGTTTGTCGTTGAAGATAGATCGGGGGCGGCAAAGAGGGGGGTGATGGCTAGGCGGGGTGGATATCATGGCGTGGGCCATGATTTTTCCCCAGATGTCATGGCGTCTCTTCTTATGTTATTGCGTCCTTGGCCCCCCCCGGGGCCGCGCACATGCCGCCGGCCATGATTTGCACCCCCCCTCTTGGACGCCCTCCTCTTGGCCGCTCCCGAATAGATACTTCTGCATGTCCTGATCCCCGTCCGCTTTTAAGCGCCCTTCTACTAGAAGTGTCGAGCGGTGTTCCCTATTCCCTCCTCTTCAAGGGGGGCAGGCTGGAGCCCAATATACGTCCAACACCTTCCTACTTCATGCTGCTACCCACTTCTTCCGACTGACGGGTAGGCCCACCATGCAATATGATGTTTGTGGCTTGCGCGAAATAGCCTTATGTTGAGGCCGAGGCTGAGGCTGAGGCAGCCTCAGTGTTTGATACCTAAGTTGCCGTGTTACAGGTAGGGGGCCACATGCGAACCCTACCCCTACCCCCCACGATTTCTGAAGGGGAGGGTGGGGTTCACTTCGTTCGGGAGCTCTCGAGCGAAGTGAACCCCACCCTCCCCCTCAGAAATCGTGGGGGGTAGGGGTAGGGTTTGCATGTGGCTCCCTAACAGGGGCAGCGTGTGTTGTGATCCGAACGCTCGCAGTGCTCATCTCAGAGAACTGCTCCGTGGCAGGCCCGGGAGACTACTCTGGGGCTTGCCGGGGCCCCTGCGCAAGAGGCAGCTCCAGGATCGGGGAGCGTCGAGCACCGAGGAGGATCGAGCCTCGGGGTGGACTGGAGGCTCGGGGAGGGCCCTCCCCGAGAAGGAGAACGAGGAGGAGGAGGAGGAGGAGGAGGAGGAGGAGGAGGAACGAGGAGAAGGAGGAGAACGGGAGGAGGAGGAGGAGGGAGGAGGAGGAGGAGGAGGAGAACGAGAGGAGAACGAGGAGGAGAACGAGGAGGAGAACCTGCCCCCCCCCCCCCCCCTCCCCCGGGAGACCGCCGCGAGGAGCCCCCCCCCCTGCGCCCGCGGGCCGCCGCCCGGCCTGCGGCTCCTCCGGCCTCCCGGGGGCCGCCCGCTGGCAGCCGGGCCGCCCCGCGGCAGGCCTCGGCGGGGGCGGCTGCGCGGCCTCGGCGGAGGGGGGGGTCCTCCTCCTCCTCCTCCTCCTCCTCCTCCCTCTCCTCCTCCTCCTCCTCCTCGTTCTCCTCCTTCTCCTCCTTCTCCTCCTCCTCCTCCTCCCCGTTCTCCTCCTCGTTCTCCTTCTCCTCCTCCTCCTGCTCCTCCTCGTTCTCCTCTCCTCTCCTCTCCTCTCCTCTCCGTCCTCCTCCTCCTCCTCCTCCTCGTCCTCCTCCTCCTCCTCCTACTCCTCCTCCTCGTCCTCCTCCTCCTATTCCTCCTCCTCGTCCTCGTTCTCCTCTCCGTCCTCCTCCTCCTCGTCCTCCACCTCCTTCCCCCCTTCCAACTTTTGGTGGTGGTAGTGGTGGACGACAGGCCCATCATGAATGCAAGCGGGGGTCGGCCAGAGCACCCGATCGTGCAGGATCCTGCAGGGCCAGGGTCGCACTCACCCGGGTTGGGGTGCAGGCCTTGGCAGGATTTTGCAGGATCCTTCGCATTGATCCGGGTGTGGGCGCAGGTTCTTGCAGGATTTTGCGCAGTTGGTTAACCTGGCTCTGGATTGACCCAGGTCAGGAGAACGCCGGGGCCGCGCCCGCCAGCCCCATGGTTAAGTCGGGCACGTCCCCCTACAGGAGGAATATTCAGGAATAGTCATACATAAGATGGGGACGATGTTTTGTATATGGTTGGACTCTTTTTGATAATGTTTTTATTGTTTTTCATTTTTCGCCCAATGTCCGCCTGCAGGAGGACATGCCCGACCTAAGTCCATGAGAGGCAGGAGCAACTTTGAAGTTGTCCTTCCCTGGGATCCTGGCGTCTCGATGTTTTTGTTGAGCCCGGCGTTTTCCTTTGTTGGATCCCTGGATCCTCACAGATCGATCGGGCTGGAAAAATGAGGCGGGGAGATGGGGTCTGGGGCTCTGGGTGTGATTTGTGCTGCGAGGTCGCAATTTTGTCGCTCGGTCAGATGTCAGGGTATCCCTCCTCGTCCTCCCCCTCGTCCTGCAGTTGCCTCGTTTCTGCTGGCAATGGCAGGGCGTCTCGGCCCCGTCCTGCGGCACCCCCGCGGTGCACGGTGCAGGCCGATGACCGATGTCCGATGTCCTTCCCGTCCTCGTCCTCCTCCTCGTCCTCCTACGTAGTGGGCGTCTCCTGCTCAGCCTGTGCAGACAAGAAGAGGAGGAGGAAGAGGAGGAGGAGGAGGAGGAGGAGGAGGAGGAGGAGGAGGAGGAGAGGGCCAGGTGAGACAACGGTATCAAGCGCCCTGGCTTGCCTACAGGTTCACCAGATAATGTTTTAAGATCCTCTGGTTGCACGAGACGGCTTTGTTTGAACCAGTCGTTGATCTGGTATAAGAACAGTGTTCATGCTATTAATGTTTGCTTGGTTTCAAGATCATGCCGTGGCATGGGCCGATCGATAGGAATGCCCAGGCCGTGGAACCCTGCTCAACAGAATAGGGTCAGGTGAGACAACGGTAGTTGGCCAGCCCCTCGTCGCCACGTCTGGACGCAGCTCGAAGAGTTGGTGTGTTTCGATCGCGGGAGGAGTCTGAGGACCGATTTGGAGATGCCGTGGTCTCAACTCCGAAGGGGGGGGGAGGGGGGGGGATGGGGGGGGGACGGGTCGGCAGGATTATGTTCCGCTGACGTTGTTGTGTGTCAGCTGAGGCTGCTTCCGAGATTCCCGCCCTCGCGCGCCGTTGTTGGGCACCGGGGGCATCAGAAACGGATCTGTGGCGAGTCTGTACCCCAGGGAAGGTGTCCGGACGTTGGGCCGAGGGCTGCACCACATAGTTTTGGGAGGGGGGCGGATCAGGGGGGACGGACTGGTCGGGGGCAACAGTAGGAGGGGACGGGCTCGTGGGGCCTCGGGACCGTCCCGAACGGCCGCCTGAGGCGGGGCCCGGAGCCAACGGGCAACGTTAGGGGAGATCGGCATGGGGGGAGCGCATCGACCGCCACGGACCCACTGGTCGACGATGTGGGCGTGGTAGCCCGCCCCCCCCAGGAACGTGCGGTTTCGCTGTCGGGGGCTTATCGCCGATCCATCGGCGATGTATCATCGATTCCGGCTCGATGTTTTCCTCCCTCTAGTTGATTCCCTCCCCGTCATTCCCCCTCGTCGTGTGCCTGGGCTCCTTTCGAGACTCCTGAGCTCATGCGGTCCCCGTGGCCCTCTGGAGGTGTCCGCGGAGGTCCCAAGCATACAATGCCCTCTTCGCTCTCCATCTCCATCTGCCTCTCGTCCTCTTTTTGGCCCGCAATGTAGATTTCTCGCTCTGCTGCGGCCCCGTCGCCGTCAGGGCATACAGCCCCGGCCACGCCACAGCGCAAGGTGATGGCCATGGCGCAGGCTCCGAAGGGGCATTGGGGCCAATAGCAGGAAAAACACCTGAGCAGGAGAAACACCTGCGCAGGAGGTGTTCGAGGTGTTTCAGCAGCATGAGGAGAAGGATGAGGAAGGAGGAGGAGGAGGGTGAGGGGAGGAGAAGGACGAGGAAGAAAAGGATCTTTATGAAAAAAGCAGAGCAGTTCGGAAGCAGAGGATGAGGTTGAGGCGGCGGAGTTGGAGGCGGAGGAGGATACGTTGGAGGAGGGGAGGAGGAGGAGGAGGAGGAGGAGGTGGAGGAGGGGATCGAAGGTGCCTGGAGGTGTATGGGGCAGAGGTTGTCTGAGGATGAGGGAGATGTCGCGGGCCTTGAGTGGGAACACTTCTGGAGGCCGCTGGACCCTTTTGTGCCCTAGTCTGGTCTTCTCTCTTTCTTGCGGTGCCTGGGTGTGTTGCTGGATGGGACCCCTGATGTCACGACGGCCTTGCATGCAGGTAGCCCCGAAGTGGGTTTCTCCGTACTGTCTCTGCCTCCTATTTTCCTTGAGTAGGCTACTAATTATAACGGCCTTTAGATCGACCGACCGACCGAGGAGGAGGAAGAGGAGGAGTACGGGGAGAAAGGGCGGTCATTGGGGGGGGAGGATGAGGTGTGGGAGGATGATGTCGGTCGGTAGGTAGTCAGGCGTTCTCCTGGAAAGGATCGTACGTTGGGCCAGCGGGCTCGGGCCCTTTGGCAGAGGTTCGAAGGGCCAGGGAGGCGCGTTCGCGTCGACTTCGCGAGGTCCACCCAAGGGAAGGGCAGGCTCGATGTTGGGGGGAAGGGGGGGACGGGGGTAGGCCGTGGGGGGTGGCTGCGGCTACCCACCCCGCCCGTGCCCGCCTCGGAGCCCCTGCCTGCGCAGAGGAAGTGCACCTTTGTCCGCGAAGCGAGCGCAGGGGAGAAGAGGGGAAAGCCTGGGGAGCGGCTACTTGGGAGGACCGCTCTGGCAGGGACTCACGCCCTGACTCCCAGCCGCCTCATGTAGACGCAGTCCGCATCCGCGGGACTACGATAACGGAGGGAGTGGGCGTCACCCGAGGAGGAGTTTCTCGTTTGGCCTTGACCAGGAGGCTGCTTCCTCTTGTGCGAAGAAACCGCCAGCGCCGCCGCCTCCGCGTAGCCTGCCTCGCCTGGCCGCGCAGACAAGACCGCCATAACGAGGGGCCGCGCATCCCGACGGGACTGAGGAGGCCAGATGAACTGCCTAAGGGGGCAGGTCTTCGCGCATGCGGCGAGCATGAGGTCGACGAGGACGGAAGTGGAGGAGGAGGAGGAGGAGGAGGAGGAGGAGGAGGAGGAGGAGGAGGAGGAGCAGCAGCAAGGCGAACGGGGAGATAGGGAGGATGAAAAGTTCGGCACGTGAGGGAGAGGAGGGGGGAACATGACGGAGCAGAAACCTGGAGCCCGGAGCAGCGGTGGCATCGACGCCTGCGTCGGCATCGGCACCTCTTGGGTCCGGCGCCAAGAGCAGCGGCACGCTGCGCAGCACCAGCGGTGGCGGCGGCTGCCACGGCAGCTCTGCGCGACGTGTGGTGCACAGACACGACTCAGGAGGGGAAAAACACACAGACACAATTCATCGTCGATTCCCAAGAAAATATGGGAAAATATGGGAAGTGGGGGGGAAGACAAAAACCCAGAAAATATGGGAAAATATGGGGATATTTTCAGTTGTGTGTATTTATTTGTGTGTCCTGGGGCCCCTTCAGTGTTGTGCACAGGCACGACCTCTGCCGACCTGCTCGCGCTCCGTGGCCTCCGGCTTGGCCTTCCTCGCCGGGGGCCGCCGGCGGACCCCGCGGCGCGCCGGCGGGCTTGCAGTGCCTGCGCGGGCCAGTGTCAGGAGGGGAAGAAACACACAGGCACAATGGATCGTCGACTTCCCAGAAAATGTGGGAAAATATGGGAAGTGGGGGGGAAGACAGAAACCCAGAAAAAATTGGAAAATATGGGGAATCTTTTTATTTGTGTTTATCTTTTTTTTGTGTGTCCCAGTTCCCCTTCACAGTGCAGCGTCCGCGCTGGACCGGAGGAAGGGAGGTGGACGGCGGAGGGCGGGGAATTCTCGACGCAAACGCATGTCCATGCGCGCGCGGACGCTGTCAGGGTGTTTTTTCCCCGAGTTCGTTGCCGAGACCGTCCGCCACGTGGAGGGCACGGGGGACGTGGGCTGGGCTGCGCCACCGGCGGTTGTAGCATCAGCAGCGGCAGCAGAACGCGACAGCGCAAATTGCCACAGTTGCATCTCTGCGGCTTGCACTGCGCGTGCCCTGTCGCACTCGCACGGGTTATTCCCGGCCTCAGTTCCCCTTCGTTCCCCCCTTTTCTTTTCATTTCATCTTCTTCCCTTCGCGATCGCCCATCCCCTCGCCCCTCTCGCGAGTGTTGTTTGCAAATTCCTGATCCATCTCCGCCAGGCTGCGTGAGCTGGCCTGGCCCGCCCGCGCGCGCATGACTTGACCTACGCCGCGCCTCCGTTCGCGTGGCCGCGACGCCAAAAAGACGTTCGTGTGTGTGTGTGTGTGCGTGTGTGTGTGTGTGCGTGTGTGTGCGTTGGTGTGCGCGCGTGCGTGTGCGATTGCGTTTCTCCAGTCCACCCGTGTTCTGCACCACGCGGGAAGTCGTCTCAAAGTATGCGTGTTTGCCGCTCGCGGCGGTGCAGTCACCTCGCAGCTGAAGGAAACCATGTGTTCGTTTGTGCGTGCGTGCGTGCGTGTGCGCGCGCGCGCGTGCGTGCGTGCGTGCGTGAGTGGGTGAGTGCGTGCGTGCACGTGCGTGCGTGCGTGCGTGCGTGCGTGCGTGCGTGCGTGCGTGCGTGCGTGCGTGCGTGCGCGCGCGCGCGCGTGCGTGCGTGCGTGCGTGCGTGCGTGCGTGCGTGCGTGCGTGTGTGTGTGTGCGTGTGTGTGCAGGGGGGGGGGATGACGGAGGGAAGGATGGCGGGAGACACGGTTTTCAGGGATCGCCGTCCGTCTTCCTCGCCGAGCGGTCGGCGCCGCCTCAGGCCGCGCCGCCGGCGCCTCCCGTCGACTGCCACCGCGTCGACATCTCCGAAGACCGCCTGGGCGAGCTGCTCGGGGCGGAGCTGGCCGTGCTGTCGGGCCAGGCCTCGCCGCGGCCCCGCTTGGTTACCAGCCTCGAGCGTATCCCGATCCTTAAGATCGACACGCCAAAAGGCGATGACGATCTAAGGGATCCGCCCGCACAAAACGAGGGGAATCCCTGGGATTGGCATCGTGACGAGGAGGTGCCCAGCGTAAGGATACGGGCCTGTTCCGGGCTGGTAAACTCAGCCCCGCGGGAGGCCAGCCTCGGCATCTCAAGGGCACTCGATGTTTCAAGGCTTGGAGCCAACCTGGAACCAACCGTCTTGGACCGTCGTGTGGCGCTTTCGGCAGCCTCTTGGGCCGTCTTGGTGCGATGCTTGGGGGCTTCCTGGGACGTCTTGGAGAGCTTGAGTGTCCCGAAAGGGCGAAGATGCATAGGGATAGGGATATGTTCCAGGCTGGTAAGCTGCGGCCCTTTCCGCCTTTCCTCGCCACGATGGGAATGCGGGCCCATCGGGGAAGTCGCTTCCTGCGCTCTTTTTGTTAGTTTTTCCTTTCTCGGGGCCCCCTCCGCGGGCCACAGGGATGTCGGGAAACCTTTCAGGATGAAGGACCGGTTTCTTCGCCTTGAGAACCTTAGTGGGCCCTGGAAACGACAGGGCCGTTTTTTTACCGGTTCCGTTTTGCCGTTTTTTGGCCGGTTCCGACGCCGGTTTTTTACCGGTTCCGTCGCCGTTTTTGTTACCGGTTCCGGCTCCAGTTCCAATCTTGGAGCCGTTTGTTTGCCGTTTCCGGTCGCCGTTTTTTTTTGCCGTTTCCATTTTTAAGGGGCCCTTTTTGTGGAAACGGTGAAAAAAAGGCCCTGCCGTTTCCGGGGCCCACAAAGTTGAGAACATGTCTTCTTTCATGCTGACCTCCGCTGTGAAGCGAGGCGTGATCCGAGGACGCAGACCGCACGCTTCGAGGTTTGAGTTGGGAGATTTTCGGGCGGCGGTTTCGTCGGTTCTCGGCGGTTTTCCGGCCTTTGGCTGGTTTCCGACATCTGCGCCTCGCCGAGGGCGCCTCAATGAGATACCAAGATAGCCGCGAGCGGCCGCCAGAGAGCCGAATTATGGGCCGAAAGTCTAGGGTCGTGGTATTTGTTTGTCCGCTATTTCCCGTCCGTCCTCCTGCTTCCCGCCCGCTCCTGTGCTGGTCGTTTTGCTGCGAATGGGTGTTGACTTCGGCCGCACCGTGCGTCCTCTCCTCTTCTCCGCAACGCCACAGAGACGTGCATGCACACCCATCGTTTGTTTTTGAGCTTGAAGGGTGGATGCATTCAAATACTGGGTCCCTACCCACACATACGTGCACGTGCCCATGGGCTGCCGCAGCCTACGGTTGACCTTGACGTTGACCTTGCTGACTTCGTGCCCTCAAGGGCCCACCCCGTGTTTCAGGACTGCAAGAGAACGGCTCGGGATGACGAGCTGGCCCAGGGGTCAAGAACCCGTCCCCCTCCGGCGTGCGCCTGCCTCATGCCAAGACCTTTCGCCCTCGGCTCCTCTACCCTCCTGTAGCATCCCACTACTCTTGGACAGGACATATCTCCATGTCCATGGTCTCACGGGCCTGGCGCTTCAGACTCCGTGGATGCGGTGCGTTGGTTTTGCGGATGCCGCGTAACCACGGGATCGCGCCCCAGAGTCTGGACCGTGAGGGCGTGGATATGGACACGTTCGCCGCTCGTGAACTCCCTCCACTCCCCCCCCCCGCTGCGCGTGTCACGACAGGCCGTACTTCTGCAGCGAAGTTACCCCCTGTACGGCGGAGGCTTCCCAAGTTCGATCAGGCGGACAAGCTGTTCTGGAGCAAGGCCTCATTCCAGAACGTCCTGTTCACCCACATTTTGGGGTCGCGCAGTGCGGGGGCCACAAGTGGGCGGGGGGGCAGCGGAGGCTGCAGCCAAGGGCCCCTTTGGGGCCCAAGAGGGGGGGCTTTTATTTGGGGCACGAGAAGGGCAACCAAAGCTTCTCCTTGACCACCTGCGTCAAGACTGAGTTCATCTCGGTCTTCATCGTCGCGTCGTGTGGGTGCAGGACTCAGTCACCCTGACGCCTGCGAAGGAGAGCCAGGGCACCTGTGCTCGCGCCCAGCTCTTCCGCGGGGCCACGGCCCCCCCCGCAGTCATCCGTGCCCGCACAACTGCCGCCCGCACCTGTCACCCCCCCAGGGAGCGGGCGACAGGTGGGGACACCTGTAGTCGCCCCCATCTTGCAGATTTCGGGGGATGCCAGCAGATTTGGGGGGTGCCACCAGCCCGTCGATGTTGGATCCCTTGGGGATGGAAAACAACAAACAAACTGTAATCGCCCCCCTCCCCCCCCCCAAGAATTCGCTTCCAACGCAACCGCGGGGCACGGCCCCTCCCCGCTGCGTTCTCAGCGGGGCCGCGACGCCAGCGCGCGTCCTGCAGTGCCTCGTCTCCCCGCCTCCACCCCTCCCGCCCCCTCATCGGCGGCGAGCGAGGGGGGGAAGCGAGAAGGATCGGGGGCGGCCAAGAGGGGGGTGATAACGAGGGGGGGTGGATGTCATGGCGGGGGCCACGATACGTCCCAGATCTCATGGCGCCTCTTCTTATGTCACTACGTCCCCGGCCCCCCCTTCTGGGCCGCGCACATGCCGCTGGCCATGATTTGCGCCCCCCCCCCTCTTGGACGCCCCCTGGTTGGCCGCCCCCGAGAAGGAGAAGGCGGTCTCGGAAGGCGGCGGGACCTCTCCGGAAGCCCTTGCGCCTCGGGGGAGGTGTTCTGTGCCTTCGGGGGGCAGGCTTCGAGAACGTCTCAGAAGGTCGGGAGACGTCCGAGATTTTGAGAAGGCCCGCCCCGTCTCACTTCCCCTCCCCCAGGTTTGCCGCCGACTCTAGGCTATAGGCCTCCCAGATGGGGCCAGATGGAACAAGGTCGGAGGATCGCGCGATGCATCGCCGATGCATCGGCGATGCGGCTCGATGTGGGACCCTTTGTTCTCCGCACCGCCGGCGCCGATGCACCGCCGATGTATCGCCGATGCGGCGTGATCCTCTGACCCGGTCTGCTCGGAACCCATCTGGGAGGCCTTTCCCTTCTCGCTTCGCCCCGGGGCTCGCCGCCGGCCCTCCTTTCCTTCCCCCTCCGGCACGAGCTCCTCGCTCGGGGCTTTTGAGGTCCGGCCGGCCCTGGTTCGCGGCCCTTGAGGCGCGGCCCGTGGCCGCCCCCTCCGCGGACCCTCCAGCGCACGGAGCAAGACACGCGACTCGGGAGCGCAAATAGGCACGCGCACACGCACACACACACGCACGCACGCACGCACGCACGCACGCACGCACGCACGCACGCACGCACGCACGCACGCACGCACGCACACACGCACACACACACGCACATGAGCGTCCATCTCCAGGAGAGTATGGGAACACATGCGGAATGGAGGGGAAAAGGAGACTCAAGAAAATAGGAAAAACAAGAAGACTCCCTGAATGTGTGTCTGCTTGTTGGTGCATCCCTCGGCGCCAGTAGAGGCAGAGGGATTCTCCACCAGGTTTGCCCTCTGGGGGACGTTTTCGTGGTCGAATATCAATCCGCGAGAACGGACATGCTACCAAGAGGAGGAGGAGGAGGAGGAGGAGGAGGAGGAGGAGGAGGAGGAGGACGAGGACGAGGACGAGGACGAGGACGAGGAGAAGACGGAGGAAGAGGTCGAGATGTGCAGTGGTCCACGTGTTTCGCAGTCAGGGTTTGTCGGAGTTCTTGGCATCTGGCCCTTCGTCTCTCCCCCTCGGGGGGACGAGGACCCAGGATCGAGGATCAAGGTTCCAGGGTCGAGGCAAGAGGTTCGAGGATCGGGAGTCGAGGTTCGACGAGGAGATGGAGTGGGGTGGAGGTGCGAAGATCGCGGTGTTTGGATGTGTTTGTTTTGTTGGGGAGCTCTGGGGATCTCGGGGGGGCCCTGTGCTGTGGGGCGTCGTGGGAGGGCCAGGAGCAGGGGGCAGTTGAATTGCACCTCGAATGGCAGTGGGTCAAGACGAGTCGTGAGCACGCATTGGGCAACAGCACCAGGAACACCGCCAATGAATATCACGATTTGACTGACATGGTGAATTCGTGATCTGCCGTGCATCGATCGTCTGCGTGGGTCCTAGGGTGTCGGGGCATGGTTTTCTATATCCAGATACAATGTTGCATGTCTAGACATTGTCGTTTTGTTGTCTCGAAGTCTAGACGAGTTTCCGATTGGCTATTTCGACATGTACTCGAGCGAGACTTGAATCCCCGATCGAGGGCTCGGTCCTCCATCAGGGCCCCCCGGAGTCCCCTCCTGCCCACTCCCCCCCCCGCAGTTCCCCGCCGCCCCGCCCCCTCCCCGATCCTCGATCGCAGCGTCGCCCCTCGGGCGTCTCGTGACCAGGGGCGGCAGATGGAGGCGGGACGGAGGGCTGCAGGAGACGGGCACCTTCGGGGCCCGTCTCTTGTGCCCCGAAGGCACACGCTTGTGGTCACCCCGGGCACCTTGGGGGCACCTTCGGGCACCAGGGGCTCAGAAGGTGCCCGAAGAGGACACCTCCTCCTCCTCCTCCTCCTCCTCCTCCTCCTCCGTTGCCATTTTGGCTCAAGGCACTCTTGAGCGGGCAGCTCCGTTCGCGAGCGATCCAGCCTGTCGTGGGCTGGCGGACACCTTTTTCTCTTTCTCTCCCAGGGCTCTTCTGAGCCTCACCTAGCCAGTTCCTGCAGCCATGGGCGACACCACGCCAGTGACCATGCAGAACATGCGCGACCTCATGGCCGAATTCATGGGCACAATGCAGACCCGAGCGGCAGAGGAGGTGACAAAGCAGATCGCCCCGATAACAGAGACGATCAACAAGCAGAACGCAGAGCTCGTCTAGAAAATGAACGAGCAGCGGCAGACCATCAGGGACCTAGATCAGAGGATGCGCGCCTGCGAGAACTCCGATGGAAGATCCACTGTTGCATCATCTAGGACGGTTTCCTCGGACGGGTCGAAAGCTAGGAGGCTGGGCGATGCGAGCTCAGCAGGTGGA